AGAGAAATTGATACACCTTATTTATAGAGATACATGAGAGGTTTCTGTGTCTTGATGAAGTATCTATTATATTTACCTTTAATCTTTAGTTGTACAATAGGAAGTTTAGGTGCTATGTAAGGTGTTCTACCAAGTTTTTACCGATAGCTATGGCTTGCAGAAATCAATTGGTACCCTCTTCATTACTGTTTTGGGTTTGGTTTTTCTGTATTTTAAAATTTTATAACTGTGATTTATGGTCTGGGACTATAAATAGAGAAAAAGAAGGCTATCTGTTTTGCAGATAAGACCAGCTAGGCAGGAAATACTAAGAAATACCATTGCATGAATAATTTGGTCCTGTAGATGGAAAGATTTAGGTTCCAATAGCTTATTTTTAAGTAACAAAATTTACTTTTACTGAATCTCCAGAGACAGTCTCTCCATTTCAGATATTTGCTTCATATGGAAAATAAGCAACAAGAATGGGGATCGAAGGGTGGATGGAAAATGCTTGTTCTTATCCTGGAATGTCCTTTTCCCCCAATAATTACCTTTTACCTTTTGAATGCCTGAAAAAGTCTTCCACCCCTGATGACACAGAATTGCAGAATGCAAGATATCCAAGACAGCAGAATGGAGGGTGGTTATTCTTTTTTCATTATATTACAGGGATCATTCATCTTTCTTAGTATGAATTCTGATCAGGAAAAGATTCTTAATTATAAGATATGACAGATCAGTTGACTCTAAAGCATAAGCATTAAAAAACAACAGCACCAGATGCCTCATTTTTCAACTGGCACAAATGAGACAATCTCCTCTTGTTCTTAAATAATCGACACAGTGTCCTTTCACTTCTAACAAATTCCCTACAAGCTTCAGTATCTACTGCAACATACATTTGTTCATACTCACTTCTCTGCTTTTTCTTCCATCTATTATCTCATCCAGTGATGAGACTTATATTGCAATAATTTCAAAACAGGAATCAGTTTTGCTGCCTACATTACTCTGTCAAATGTCATAAAACTTAATAATGTTCACACTATTGTTTTAATATACCTGGCCCCAGATATTCCAATCTTCCATCATGTGAAACTGTACATTATTTATTCCTGAGCATCAGAGTAATCCACAGAAGGGTCCTCTTATTTTAGGAAGTTTAGGATTCATAATATCACATAGCAAAGTACCCCCATTTCTTAAACTTTTTGATTCAGTATCACAGAAGGTTCTTATATTGAGAATTCTTTCCGAATTTTCCTGCAAGAGCATCACTTCTTAATTTTTTATTTTAAAGGTGCTTGATTTTTGTAATCATGACACATGCAAATGGTGCTTTCAGGAACTATTGCAGCATTATTTCTTGCAGGCCTATCATAATTGTTAGCATTTGCTCAATTCTCACTGAGCTGTTTGAGGTTTTTCTTTTTGATTTCTTGTTTTGCTCTATTAATATGTAAAGCACGTTGTATTATTGAATAATCCTTGCTTTACACTCACAGTTCTTCGAACAAATAGGAAGTTTCAGGAAAAATATGAAGAAAAAAATGTAAAGCAGATGTATGTATTTGGTTTCAAAAATTGGGGATATGATGTACTCTACTTTCTTTTCAGTCACAGTTATGAGAAAAGTCCTACCCTGCACAAGGCATAAGAAAACCATGTGATAGGACCGGGCAAAGCATTCAAAGGTGCTCTGTGCATTGAAGGGAGGGAAGCACCCCTCTTTAAAATATTGAGGCATCCAAATCACTAGGGAATTCTGGGAGTTGAAGTCCCCCTATCTTAAAGTTGCCAAGGTTGAGAAACATTACACTAGATCATTACAGATGTATGAGAATAATCTGCAGCATATATTTGCGAATACTGTGGGATGGAGGGAGAACCAAAGCATCCTTTGTTGAAACATTTCCTTTTGATATGCATTTTTCACAAAAATTCTGTTTAAAATCCATTATATGTTAAATTATTTCTGATTAGTAAATTATTTGACAAATGCTTTACATCGGGTGTGAGTACTGACTATATATTTTGAGTTTTATATTTGAGATATGAGATTTGGTGATTAGAAACATTATGTTATCCAAGGTTATATTGGCTGGTTGATGTGTGCAATTTTGACTAGAATTAGTGGACAGCTTTTGGCATTCAACATCTGCCCACATTAAAATGTTTATGTCAAATCTCAAATTCTGATGGCCTTTTAATATTTGGAATTTCACCAAAATACTCAGTATACTGGAAAGTTTTCTGGTTAAGGCAAGAGTGGACAAAGGTCACATGGCAAATTGAGCAACAGCTTTGATGAATGGGTAATGTGTAACCTAGCTTGTTTCAAAAACATTAATGGAAATGACAAAACACAAATGATATTTCCACTTCTCCACCTTTCAGAGTCTTTTTGGAAAGTAAAATTTATTGGTGGCCTTACATATTAAATTACTACTTATCTGACATTTCTCATCTTTCTGTTCAAGTGAAGTAAAATTAAATAATAACTTCTATTTAAGTGTCTTGACAGGTCCGGTATCTTTTCCTAAAGTTTGATAAAAATGGATTTTCTGTCTAAGCTAGCCCTCAACGCACACACCCATTCTCTCCACATACACACACACACGCTCACACACTTTAAATAATACCATAAACTTAAACCAAAATAAAACTTTCATTAAAGCAGGGAACAATAATAAAGTACATCCCCAACTAAGAAAAATCTGACTTTGGGGGAGGGGGCAAAGCTACACGTGTACAACATGTTGGAAAAGGAAGTCTGGCCTTTTTCTTGGGAGTTTCATAGTAGCAGAATCATAATCTTGTGTTATATACATTACAAACAGGCTCGTACAGGAATTAGCCGCCTTTCAGATATCCTGGCCCCAAGCCAACATACTCCTGTTTATTAAGTAGTTCTGTATTTCATTTTAGTTTCCAAATAGTACAAGATGGAAATGTATGTGCTGTCAGCAGCTTAGTAGTGGAAATAATCCCTCAGGTGTATTTATTTGGGGATTGGAACAGAACAATTTTGCTCTATATTATGGCTTTGTAACCAGCCTCCATCACTCCCAGCTGGCATGAACCCTTCATATTAGTAAGTGGCAGCTTTTTAAATCATCACCCCTGTTTACAGAAGCAATCCCTGTTTGCCAACGATGACTTGAAATACTACATTAAAGTGTAAACTCAGTTGATAAAGATACGAGAATTTGATCATTTTACTGTTTTATTGTTTTACGGTTGTTTTATAGTTATTGGTTTTACTGTTGTTGCAAGCCACCCAGAGTTGTTTAAGATGGGCGACCATATCAATAAGTATGTAAGTACATTCTCTTATTCCGTTTAAGTATTACTGCTCTAATAGCAGAAGAGAAAAGTCACAACTGAATGAGCAGTTTTCCTTTTTATCAATGGGAACCACTGCAGCACAAAATTCAAATACTTGGATAGGCATGCATTTTCTTTTGATCGTAAGAAACAGTGAACAAGCACGTGCACAGGAGAACGGGAGTACTATATTCAATTAATCCTGGATACATTGACATGATTCATTCAGTGTTCTTTTGGTGACTCAAATTCTTTGTTTTGTTTTAAACAAAATAATATTTAGCTTTTATATCAATTGCTTAATTTTTTACACTACTGACTTCCCACCGTTTTATGACTGCTCATGTTGACTCCAGTAATGAATGGTAGGTATGGCATCTCTATCAGGATTTCCAAAATTTTAAAAAAAGTGGAGGGAAACCAGATGTAGCATAATAAAGAATATTCAAACAGCCAACGGTTCATTACTGGTTTTCAAGTTGTAATGTGCCCCCTAGTGGTAATCAAATAGGTGGTTAATTATTTTTATCTAATAGAGCAGCACAATTTATTAAAAAATACCAGCCAGTAACATACCAGATAATTTCATCTTATTACCCTTTAGAGATTTTGTATTTTGTTTCTCTATTTTCAGCCTGGCAATTGCTTTTCCCATCCAAGTGCCATCCAGGTGGGTTAGACTCTACCTTCAATAATTCCCCTGCTGGCCTGATTTTGCTGAGAGAACATCTCAGGGAAACGTGGGAAGACCTGCTTCCTCAGCCAAGCATTTCTCTGTGAAATCTGAAACTTTATCTACTGCATTCCCTGAACTAGATGGTACTTTGATTTCTGAATAAGGCATGGGTTCTTCAGTTGTGCCGGGGGAAATCAAGCCGCAAAATCAATCCAGAAATTCTGAATATGAAATCCATGCAAGATTAACCCAGGCGAGGTTGCAAGTTACTACAAGGGCTCAATAGTACATATTTTGCTGCCTGAATTTTTCATTTAGGTACGTTATTTAAACTCTATATGCTAGGTCAGATATTAGCAGATTGTATTCTGTGATCTGTAAATAAAACTGCAGTGGGACTAACTTTGCACTGATTTCAGTGAATTTACTCTACATATAGTCTGACCCAACTTCAAAATGTTATTTTAGCCACAGCTGACAAGCTTTCACATACAGTAATTACAAGAAACACTGCTTAGAAATATCATTCTGAGACCGTAAGGAATTCCTTCTAGGTAAAATCTGCATGTGTAAAAAGAACTGCGTAGGAAAAAAAAAGTTGCTTCCAATGGCAAGAACTGATTGTATGGGGCATCTATACTTCCAGGGATCACCCTGTTACTGGTTGGTACTATGTTCAATGGTCATGCCAAACATGTTTGGGAGCAGGAATAAAATTAGGAAAACATATTATTCCCTCCGCCCCATTACAAAGGCTGATAATGTCAAAAATATAACACTGACAGCATATCAGCATATGTAACTAAGCATGTATGCATTTCAATGAACATACAGTATGCACTACTGCACGCATGCAGGAATCTCTGGATCAAGGCTATGTTTCCATGCACACTATTATTTCACCCCAAACTACAGGCAAATTCTAGGTGCATAACTGGATTATTATGTCCTGAAGTCCTGCTGAATCAGATAAAGAGACAAAGACTGTCTATGAAAAAATCAGCTGACCACAGAATTATGTTGCATTTCATAGCCTTTTATTTTACAGCTTAAAATACAGAATTTGTGAAATCTTACAGAGTAAAATTCTGACACCTAATGGATAACATCAACAGTTCTGAATATTCATTTAAAACAAAAGTACTCAGTAACAAATGAAGGATTTTTTAATGGCGTGTTGCCATTGATTTTCTGAATATTGCAATCAATATAAACATTAAGAATAAAAAAAAAGAGAAAATGGGATGTACCTCAATATACAGTTTCAATCTACCTTATTTAAATTAATTTCTTTGGTAATTTGATAAACAAAACTATCTTTCAATTCCAATATTTCCCAAAGTATCAATTTAATTACAAAAAACCTAAATCACTAAACCTCCTGGTTATTTCAATACAATTATATAAATGTTATTTAAAGCAAACATTTAAATGACTGCAGTGAATAATTTGAAAGATACAGTGCATAGATATACATTAGATGGCTTTATATTATATCATATAATAGCAATCTTATACACCAATTTTACTAGTCAGAGGTTGGGTTCTGTCAGTGAAGCATAGTGCAAAACATTGGCTTACTTCCAAGTACTTGACTTTAACTGAATTCTGAAATAATATTAGAACAAAATACTTATTTGATTATTTCATAGTAGTCAAAGAAAATATAAAATTTCTGAAATATTTATACATTTCACAACAGCTTGATCACCCAGATGTTTTTAAATATTCTTAGTAAATACCTACAAATTGCTACTCCCCCCACTCCACAAAATCTTCCACTCACTTTTATACTCACTCCATGCACGTACTTCAGAATCTAAGAAGGCATTAATATAATGAAGTCAGTCATTGCAATATTCTGCCAAACCCTTAATATAAAGACTCAAAAACCATGTTTTATATTAAAGTTTGTCAACATGTTCATTTCTATGTGGAAAAAGCTACAGAGTATGCATGTCTGTTTTCAATAGGCATAACAACAGAAAACTGTAGATATACGTAATCTTGCAGTGGTATGATAAAACATCATTCTGGAACATCTACAGAATGAATATTCAGCTTCTAAAAAGCAACATCCTCTCCGAACATGCCTGTCCCACTAGAGTTGCATACTGCTGTACAGTTTCTTCATCGCTTGGTCCCTTCCGATTTCTCTTATACACCCTGTAAGGCATAACTGTTCTCTTATGGAGAATCTGAACTTGATCAAGTTCCTTCACCATCCCTTCATCAGCTGAAAAAGGAAACAGAAATATTATCTTTTTTGAGGTGACATCAAACTGCATAGGGCAGCAGTATTATGTTTAGAAAGTGCAGCCTATGGAAGAAATTTAAAAGACTGGACTGTGTGTGGATTTACCATGGTTTTCAGCTTCAAGCCTGATTTTCATAAGCAGGATTATCATAGCCTTATGGCAGGGTTCCTCAACCTTGGCGACTTGAAGATGTGTGGACTTCAACTCCCAGAATTCTGGAAGTTGAAGTCCA